TCCTGTTTGTTCAAGCCATCCCATTGGTGGTATAATCCAGTCAGAGCAGCACTAGGGAACTAGAACAAGCAATATCAAGATTAGACAAGTCAGTGTTATGAACCGAGCAAGAAAGTAGGTGGAAAGTGACACCAGTCCCTGGCATTAGAATATAGTTTGGTGGGATAGAGGGCAAGTATATGGACATTTTAAAATTAATTTGTGGTGTCTTTGAAGCAAGATGGAATTACTCCCTGGCTGTTGGCTGTACAGGAGCATTGGTGGTGCAGTCATTGAAGCACTCAACTGCTAACCAAAAGGCCAGGGGTTTGAATACAGCAACTGCTCTGTGGGACAAAGACGAGGCACTCTGCTTTGGAGTTGCCTTGGGAACCCTATGGGACAGTTCTACTCTGTCCTATGGAGCCACTATGAGTTGGAATCAACTTGAAGGCAGTGGGTTGGTTATAGTCTGGAGCTCAGGGGAGAAGGCTGAGACAGTGAAGGGCTTTGGGAACCATCAGTAGATTATGTGTAATAGCAGCCCTGGATATGAACAGCTATTCCCATTTCCCAGATGAAGAAACTGGGACTTAGACACATTAACTTGGCAAACAGCAGAGCTAGGATTCTAACCCTGGTGATCTTATTCCATATTTCATCCTTGTGAATTAAACCTTAGAACCTGCAATTTCCCCAAGGGTCAGCTATTTGGCCCCAAAATGCAAACACTCGCTCAAGTGTTTGTAATGTTTTCTTGAGTTCTGGTTTTGCTGCCCTTTGTCTGTTTACTATCATTTTGTCCTGAAATCATTCTCTGAGCCCTTCAGCCAGAAGTTTTCTTCCAAAGGGGAGGGGATGAGCCAAATCTTTTACCCATACTTAAACCTCCTGCTGAGTGGAACAAGCTGTGCTGTCTTTCTGTGGCTTCCTTAAGAGGTCCAGGGGTTCCAGTCTTCTTCCCAGGGAGATAAATGCCTGCCCCAATCAAAGGAACAGGAGAAGCCAGTCAGGGTCACTTGGGTCTCCCCAGGAGTTGAAAGGAATATGAGAATATGACCCTGATGTTCACCTGTGAGAGATCCGACTCTGTGGGCAGAACTACCAAGGCTGCCTCTGGTGGTGGATTACCCACCAGGTGACGGGGATGGGCGGCTGAATGGGAGACAGGAGAGAACTCTAGGAGTCCCAGTATGGTGAGCTGATTCCTAAAACAGGTTCTTGGAAGACCATCATTTAGCCTCTGTGTGAGAAAGGGTGTCATGGACAGTCTGGAGCCTTCTCTCCCCCAGCAGCTGCTTCCTGATCTCACCCTGCTCTTAGCCACCCTCCTGAGTCTCTCCCTTTCACGTCAAGGGTTTCAGAGAACTGCATATGATCTTTCCATTCATGGTAAACACATGTCCTTGAAAGAGCAAATGCTTGGACATTCCCCAAGAGAAGCAAAAGGTCTAGAGTCCCACCTCAGTTCTGAGCAGCTACCAGTGTTAGAGACTCATCCCCTATCCCTGGCCACTAGCTGGTGTGGT